TATATAATTATATAATTATATACATATTATATATATCGCCTAAAGTTTGTTTTTTTATTTTTTTTATTTCAAATTGACAGGAGCTGTTCTCATTTACGACACCAGATGGCGCCACATTTCAATGACTTTAACGCCACTTTCTTTTTGGATTTCGGGTCATTTATGCAGTTTGTTTTTTTCCTTTTAGTTTGTATTCCCTGGACAGGTCAACACAACAACACGGTGAGTTAAAAAAAAAAGACATTTTTGAACCCAATTTTTAATCGCATATAAAGAACTAGTTAAATCACTTTGCCAGCCCATAAAGACAGTGTGTTAATGAGAGCCTTTTGCTCGTGAAATTCACACGTGTCCTCCCACGAAATTCCGTGTTTGTTGCAGTCGTGGGTTTGGCCCAGCTGCCTCTCGTGCAGCTGTGATACACAGAACATGGATTTGATGAGACTTAAAGGGAACGGAGATGAAACTTGATGGGGATAAAAACAACTACAAAAACCCCACATATTTTTACACATTTCTGCTCCGTTCTTCATGATGTTGACAGCTTAAAATATTTTATGAGATAGAAAAACATCTTACTGAAGTAGGCCTAAAGCCACCAAAGCATGTGTTTGTGAGGCTTTTATTAATCCATGATGATCCAAAAAGATCCCTATAAGGCAGGATCGGTTCCGGCCAAATGATATTTTTATCACAAAATCTCCTGTGACTCCAAACTCCCCCCTTTTGCCAATTAGAACCACAATCTCTTATAACACCATCTTCAGTAAGATAAATCAATTGCTTTAGTAAAATGCGCAAAAACGCGTGCGGACAGACGTGTGTGTGGCCCATGCCTTTTTGAGCGTTCCCATATTTTTTTCCAGATTCATAAAAAGAAAAGAAAAGAACCATAGAGCTCCTTCCAAACTGTAATGTTGCGTATCTTTTATGGCCGCGGTTCTTACAAGAATACGGTAACCTAATAATAAAAATAAAAGACTGGAGGCCTGTTCTGAGGGTGCGTCACATCGGGAAACACTCAGCGCCACCTTGGATGCGCAGGACGGTTTGCTTCATTTTGGGGGAAGGACATCTTGTCCATAGAACTTTATTTATTTATCCATTTATTCATTTTAGTCCGGGTATTTCACGCTCCCTATTGATTCCACCCAAACGTTTGCGGGCCTGTTTTCAATCTGACAACATGCGTGATGAATTTGGGAAATCATCTGCAGCTATGTCGGTACCGCACAGCCCACCCAGCCTGGACCCCTCTCCCCCTCCCTCCCCCTCCAGGGTATCAATAAGATCATAGAGGCAGGAAGTTTGGGGATCCCCAACAGAAGAGCTCCGTCATTAAACACAAACAAATAGAGGCCTTCAAAAGACATTTTATGGTCTTAGAAAATAAAAATCTTATCTCTTTCATATCACTATCCGACTTTTAATGCTCTGCTTATTTATGAAACTCACGTCGAGGTTTTGCGCTCGCAAAATAAATAGAGAGAAATATTCTGCATCTTTTCATGAAACAGCTGAGATCTAACTGGGGGAATCTGCCTTTCTTTTATTATTACATCTTTTTAATCAGTGAAAATGTCTAAGAAAATCTTTAATGAGTCAAATTTCAACCAGATTCCAAAAAAAATGTAGAAACTAAATGGATTTGGACTTGGATTTTATTTACTTATACAATACAATTACTTATCTGCACTAATAACAACAACAAAAAAACTGTTTAAATAGGCACCCCTTAAAATATTATCATTTGAGGGTGTTTTAACTTAGTCTTAATTGAAATAATTTATTTTAACAGCTTAATTAGTTAATTAGGTCAGATAATTTTGCCCATCTGGTTTTTCCTTCCCTCCTTTAAAAGAGAAGAAAAAAAATCAATGGAGTATGGCATTAAACAATAATAAGATGTTTACATATGTGTCATTATTTTAGCAATAAGCTGTAAACATTATTTAATGTGGCCTAATTGTTAGATAGCTAGGCAAGCAAAAATATGTTTTGCAAGACACAAAAATGGTAATTGGAAAATGCCTGGTTTGGTAAATTATAAAATGTATTACAATGTAATTAGCTGTTATAAGCAGTACCCAGACAGGACATTTTCTTAGAGAAGAAAGTTCTTAGCATTTGCATTTAAATTAGTTAATAACAAGATATAATAAATTACTTCAATCAATAATCAAACAATGAATCTATTCCTTCGGTTCTAAATATTAAAGTTGTTGGTAACTGTATGATAATAAAGCATTATATAGTTTTATTACAATCTTTTACTTCTGAGCTATAATCTAAATTTCTACCAGAACTCATACCCATATCAGCCTTTAGAAGCAAATATCTCACAACTATAATTTCTGAGCTTCAACATGTATATTTATAATAACATTTCTTTTTTTATCTAAAAAAAACCCCACATATGGGTAAAAATCATTCTTCAAAAGCAGGTTTTATTTTTCACTGGTTGTAATTCAAATGACAGATGGGATATCTTTGTTTAACATAAATCAACATAGTAAATTAAATGCTCAGCCCTGATGGAAACTCATAATTACAGAAAATATATACACACTTTGTAAAGGTCCACGCTGACTATGGGGACATCTTATCACCGTTCTGAAATTAAAGCTTTTGGGGAAAAATCCCCAAACACCTCTGCAGCGTGAGGCTGGGTCTTAAACCTTAATCCCTCCTTGAAGGAGCAGGGCTCCTGCACGCAGCCACACTTTATTCACACACTTGACTCACAATTACATGTTTTCATATGCTCAACAGGGGATAAAAGTGGAATGACTGATTTCGTGTTGCTATATGAAAACAACAATTGGTCGCCTGCAGGCTAGAATCGCCGGATAAAAACACCTTTCACTAAATGCACACAAGTGGTTTTGGCCCTTTCGTCTCTCAGGAAGACACATCATCATGTTTGGAAGAGGAAAAATATCACATCACCTGATGTTTCTTTATTACCTGACTGCACTGTAAAAATGAGTTTTTAAGGATAAGAAATATAACTAATATAATTGGTATTATACCATCATGTATATATGTTTTGTATTATTTGTTTGGTTAAAAAATATCTATATTATTATCTATTATCTATATTATGTGAATATCTGGATCAAGTCAGCTGCCTTTGGATGCGGTGTCCAGCAGAGATCCACAGTGCTGATATGTTTATGGGATTTATTAAATTAAATGTATCAACTGAGTAAAAGTTAAATGAAGTTATAACATGTAGCAGAGAAAGTTATATGCTAAACTGACAATATAAGTTTGCTTCCAGCTTTAGCAAAAGTGCTAATCCTGAGGTGAATCTAGCTACACTACAAAAAGGAATTTGAAAAATATTAAGCGTAACCAAAATTAATTAATTCTGAATTAAGCATAGTTATGTTTTAACCCAGTTTAAATGACAGTTACACTCTGAAAACATTAGCTTCTTTACCTAACAAATTAGCATTTCTTTGCAATTAAGCTAAAGATGTTGGCTCAGTTAAGCTAGCTAATGTCTTTTTCTTTCATTGTTATGTAAAGTTATGTAAATAAAGGTTGCCTAATTAATTAATGTATCTGCTTGACAAAAGCGATTAACTGTAATAACACTGTGGATAAGAGGATATATGTTGAAGCAGGAGTTTAAGATGTTATTTAGCATGTAGCAACTACGCTATAGCTAATATCAAGCCTTAAGTCAATGAATAAATCATGTTAACTTTGGTTTTCAGGTAAAAAATGAGGACTGTGATAGACAGCACATTTTTATATAAAACATTTTTAAGCACCTGATGGGAGAAAGGTTTAATGAGGAGTCAGAATTTAACATATTAAATGTTTAAAGTTAGAGGCTAGCAAGATCTGATGAAGTTTAATGACCTTTTTTGATGTTAAATTAAACCAATTGCCAACAATAATGATGAAACTCAAACCAATTTTTTTTTTTCAAACTGTCAGACGAATATTTTAATTTTTTACTTCAGTCAGTAGGTTTTTTTTGGTTTGAATCTATTTAATATTGATGCCCCTTTGATAGAAATGCTTTGGTGATGAGTAAGTGAGGCTTTAGTGAGAGCACGTGCTGGTATAGACCCTGCTCCTTCTGCTCCTCTTTTCATTGGTCTGACTCCTCTCACTCGTGACATCACATCCAGCCGACCTGCTGCAGCGCGTGCATACGATGCTGGACACCTCCAAGGACGCACATGCGTCTGCGCTTTACGCACAGCAGCTCATTGAGTGCTTTTTGCGCACATACGCAGTGAAATAAAGCAGATTGGATCTCGATGATTTGTGAACGGCAGATTGTTGGTGTTTAGCAGCGGGATCGCAGCCGAGAGAGGATTTGTTCTTTCATGGGATTGGAAATGGAGCGTGCGTAAAGCCGTGTGCGTCTCGGAGAGGATCTGTCACCCACCCACCTGTTGCCAGGTGGTCTTGGCGTTTACTCCTGGACGTCTACTATGACATTAGGTTTGGAAGGTACTGCCATGGAGGATATTGTTATCGACGTGGTGGGGGAAGGACTGCGGGACAGCGGAGAGGAGCAGCTCTCCCTCTCAGAGGAATCTCGGAGCGAGCAGGAGCGCAGCGCGGAGACGTCCAATAGCCAGGCGGAAGATCCTGCGTGTCCGTCTCCTGCTAAAACCAAACCCCCCGCGACCGTGAAGCCTCCATACTCATACATCGCTCTGATAACCATGGCTATATTGCAAAGCCCCAAGAAGCGGCTCACCCTCAGTGAGATATGTGACTTCATCAGCCACCGCTTCGTTTATTACCGAGAAAAGTTCCCAGCCTGGCAGAACTCCATCAGACACAATCTGTCGTTGAACGACTGCTTTGTAAAGATGCCCAGGGAGCCCGGGAACCCGGGCAAAGGGAACTACTGGACGCTGGATCCCAACTCATCCGATATGTTTGAGAACGGGAGCTTCCTGCGGCGGAGGAAACGCTTTAAGCGGCAGCATTTTCGCTTCGACCCGCTGAAGGAGCAGCACTTGGAGCCGAGCGGGATCCGCTGCTTTACGCACGGCGCATACGGCCTCGGTGCGGCCACTCTGCAGCTCCCAGCTCTGGAGATCTACCCCTTCCTCCACCACCATCATACTCCCTCTCCGTGCGGTGCGCCCACAATCCCACCTGTCAGCAGCATTCTGCCGGCTCTGTCCACCTTCTTTTCCCGCAGCGCCCTCACAGCCAAGGCCTTCCTGCAGTCTCAGCCGGGACTGGACGCATACTCCCCGGCCCAGTGCGCCGCATATTCCCCTCCTCTGACCTCCAGCGCTCCCTACGCGCCCCCCGGCCTCTTCCACCCTGCAGCCTCCTCTCAGCTCCTCGGTTTGCACCAGCAGTACCAGAAACTACAGACTCAGCGCAGCAGCGGAGAGCTAATCAAACACATCAACTCTAATAACGAATAATCCAATAAGCAGAACTTGAACATTCGTTTCTCAGGTAACAGAGACTTTTAAAGAAAAGCATCACATTTACTGCAGCGGGAAATGGATGAAACGAAAAACTCCTGCAGAGTTTTTGTTATTTGATAAGGACTTCTCATCCTTTTATTATTTAAATTGAAAATTTCCTACTTTTTTTCTCTGGAAAAATAAAGTTGAAGATTTAAACCTCGTCTTTAGTCGTATTTATCTTGAAATTTATTTAAACCTGAAGCATTTTTTTAATTTATTTTTAATGATAAAGAAACCTCTCGGTTTATAATTTTTATGATAACAAAGTGTTTTATTGTATTATTTGATAATAAATATGTTTTTGACGTAATAATAATAATAATAATAATAATAATAATAATAATAATAATAATAATAATAATAATAACAATAATAATAAACTATGAATGAATATCAAGCCTGGTCATCTCAGGCCTCAGATGCGTTTTCTCTCCGCAAACTAAATGGCCTAAAGCAGTATTTGCGGCCTGCTCCTAAAGCAGACATACATTCAGTTAAATAATGTTAAAATGACAGTATATAATGGGAAAAAACTACAAATAAAGGTAAAATAACATGTTTAATTTTCAGAAAAGCAGCAGCAGCAGCTCCTTTGTCAGCCTACAGCTGATTCAGGTCAATAAGAGCATCTAAGTGGCCCCATCAGGCTTTGTTGGAAAAGAAAAGAAAACAAAGATAAATAACATAAAAGGTTGATACAACTATGTAGAAAAGTTTAAGGTTAATGTGCAAAAAAAATCTAAATTAAATAATTATAGTTATTAAAGAATATAAAATCATATTTTCAAAAACAAACTAAATAAACGCCTGTAATTGCTAGATTGTTCTGTTGCAGAACATGACACATCTCATCCTCCAATAAAATAAAATACATAAATAGAAAAATAATCCTGCTTTTCCTTCTTTCTTACCTAAATTTTATCTATAAAATAGATTGAAATAGATATATGAAATATGTATACTTTAAGTAATAATAATAATGAACAATAGATGCTGGAGTTAGTGTGTGTAGATTTAATAAGGGAGCAAAAAAATAAAGATGTTTCAACAAAATTCAAACCCTTTTTTTTCCAATGTTGTCATTTTGTGTTTGCTTTTTAAATTATCCTTCCTGTTACCAGCTTTTTGTTTAATCTGTGAAATAAACCGTGAGGAAAGTAAAAACCAAAGCCTGACCCCTAAACCAACAGTTCAGATGTGCTGTGACTAAACCTATAGACAGACGGAATTAATCAGAGGATACATGACTGAGTCTTCCGCTCGTTTCACCACCGAGCTCATTTCAAACATCTGATTGATTTATTTTTCTTTTCATTTAATCCACACAGCGCTGCCTTACAGGGAGCTTTGAAAGCAAGGGAAATGATTTTTTTAGGACTGAGAACAGAGCTGTATTTATTTTCATTTCATCCAGACTTTGCATGAGATGGATCGCCATGTTGAATCTTTAGGATGGGGCTGATGGATGATGGTCTCTGCATCTTTTCCTCCAGAGCAGCTCTCAGTCAGTGAGGGATGGCAGCAGTTGCCTGCTAGTAGGCCTGATTCTGCAGGATGAGCTCCAACTTCGCCTTTTACAAACTTTTACATCAATCTAATCTGAGTTTATCCTTTTTCTCCTTAGCTAAATTTGAATAATCACATCCTAATTTGATAAAAAGCAGATTTCTACACATACGTATTCCAGTTTTTTAAATATTATCTACCTAGAACATGTATTCCACTCCTCTCCTTTCCCCCTCTAATGTAGGAAATGTTGGATCTTTCATATTTTCCCTCATGCTGTTCTGTTTAGAGTTCTTACATTAAGGCAACACAGAGAAGATGGCGTGCTTACTAGAATTTTCCCAGATGCTTGCTTATAAAGCACTACTGTCCCCCCCCCCTCCCCACTTGTTGCTTTAACCTGTCAATAGGGGGACTAAAAAAAAGCTAGTGGAATTTTTCCTTTCTTAGATGAAAGACGAAATCAGCTGTTGGGAGTATTTTCCAGAAACTCATAAAGGAGAAACTTGAGGACTTGTTAGACTAAAACCTTTTCTTTTCTTTAAGTAAAACATAAAATAATAATTTTAAAAGCACTAAATTGAGCACATGTTTCATACTGTTTCTTTGTTTTGCTTAAATTTATATCTCAAATCAAATAATAGCAATTACTATTCTAGATAACATCAGCTGCACTAATTAGAGAATTTACCAGAAACAAGAATTATTCATTGCATGGAGCTCATAGAAGGACCCTTGAATCCCCTCTTCCACATTTTGCTCTGCTCTGCTGACAGGCAGTGCGCAGGAATCGCTTCACATGCTCAATTCAAGCTATAAAACTCCAGCTGGAAAACAGAAACCTGGCGCTCTACTCTACCTGACTAACAGAGTAATCAACCTCAGAAAAGCAATATCAAAAAAGATTATAATACTAATGATAAAGGTTTTAAAAGCAGCTTTATTTTTTTCTCTGATACCATGAATTCAAAACAGTTTCACTGAAGTTATCAAGGGAGTATTATGAGCTTTTTCTGGCAATGAGTAAAAGAAAGAAAATGACCTTAGACTGGTTGATTGACAGCCTGGGACGAGGGGCTCAGAAGGGGGGTTAGGCAGTGCACCTGATAAAATAAGCAAGTTAGATTCTTCAGGCTGATGTGTATGTCAGTGTGTGTGTGTGTGTGTGTGTGTGTGTGTGTGTGTGTGTGTGTGTGTGTGTGTGTGTGTGTGTGTGTGTGTGTGTAGAGCCCTCACTGCTCATTGCTTTTCCATCCTGCCTTCTTGGTCTTTTTACTCTGCTTTTTCCTTCCTCTCAATGTCATTAAGTGTTTAAAGGCTTTATTGAGTCTTCTCTTGAAGTAGAGGTAAAATAAAATCTCCTTTTTAATAATCTATGACATTTTTCCTTTGGTCTCCTGTGTGGTCTTTGCCCTCAGAGTCAGATTTAACACTGTCTGTGAAACCACTCAGATCGGCAACAAAGGGCTGAAGTTTCACACTCAGTAATCTGGCACAGAAAAATTCCCTGAACCCTTGTCATATTGGCTTGATCCATGCAGTAAATGTACGTGTGACGGCATCTCAGTCACGTTGCAACACCCTGCTGGATCTCCGCTCAGTTCCACTTGAATGACGGGGTTATGCCTTATCACACAGCACATAGTTCTGCATGTGGAGGTCGGCTCTCTGGCAGAAAGTGAGTCGATTCAGTCAGAAATCCAGTCATGCCTGACAGTGCTGCTGTACCAGTACGAACAACCGCCAAGTCAAACAGGCAAGATAAACGTTTTGGTGGAGCTCCCCGCCTTGCTGCCTTCAATCCTTCTGACTGCAGCGCCAAGCCAGCTAGGAGAAAGGTTCATTCTGGGACAAATGCTCCAAGTTCACAGCATGTGTTGCTGGAAAAAGATCTGAAGTTAATTCACCTAATGCAATGGTTTAGTCTGATTTTTTGTTTTTACATATAGGTTCAGTGTGTTGAGAGACTTGTTTTTTCCACACATAATTGCGCAACTGGACCAAAAGGACACCTTGTCTGGTGTGGTTTGTTGCTTGTGGCTGTTGGATCCTTTTCATTAATGTAATATATTTTCTAAAATAGACAGTTTGGGTTAGTCTATACATAGCATCCTTCAAAACATCCTGAGAAGACTTTATTTAAAAGAAAATATCCCCATGTAATAGCCTTAAGTTAAAAAACGAGATGGTTTGTTGGAGTTTACATTTAAAAAATCCTTTTAAGTTGCATAGAAGCCACAAGTTTTCATCAATCCGCTTATTTTACAGTATAGACTTAAGTAACAAATATGAAATAAGCTCTGTAGATCTAGTTACAATATTTAACTACTCATCATTTGCTGTTCTGCTCTTTCTAAAGAAACAAAAGCATAACAAGCTGATATCAGCTGGTTAATCAGTTGAGTAAAAATATTTCTAAACAGTCATATCTATCATATAAGTGATGCATATCACAGATGTCTTTCAGCCAGCTGTCTGGCAGTGTGCAGCAACTGGTGGAACTTAATGGTGCTTTTTGCTCAAAACTAAAGTAAACTCCGGTATGTTCTCTACCATCGAATTACAAGGGTTTAAAACAGCATGAAAGGAATATTTTATCGATATCAAAACCTTTTTATAACCTTGTTGCACTTTGACAGCAGTAACCGTCCCATTCCAAGTTAAAACTGAAAGCGTGATGGTCTGAAGACCTTTAGGAAAAGTAAAATGGCTCCACTTTATCTACAGAACTTTTTTTTTAAAACAACAAAAAAAACTCTAGCTGATATTATTAGTCAGGTTGTGTGCTGCAATATCTAGCTGGATGTCTGCTGCTTGTAACTTGCTTTTTGAATGATTTGAATGATAATGATGCATGCTGCAATTTTTTTTAAGACAGTAATGTTTTGTTTTTCTCAGCTCTAATTGTACAAGTTTTGACAGGAATTTTCTTTTTAAACAGAAACATTTGAAAACTCTGAGTAACCCTCAGCAAGGACCAACAACAGGTGGAGGGGAAGCATCATGTTATGTTCTCCATAAAGCTGGAGAAAATTCTGGTATCCCTAACTCATTCTCAGGCTTCCAATACTAGTTAACAACCCATTGGAGAAGATTTTGCTGTTGTCTTTCTCTCTGCCTCTGAAATTTTCTAATTTTCTGCACTTTTGCTGATGTTTTACCTAGTTTTCAGTCATTTTTTTCACCTGTTGCGTATTTAATTCAATTCAGTTTATTTATATAGCGCAAAATCACAACAAATGTTATCTCAGGGCACTTTACAGTTCACCAGATCATACAGTCAAATTGATTCAAAGTTATCTAAGGAAAACTGTCATGTTTGGTTTCAGGTTCCCAACCCACATGCAGAACACTTGTCAGACAGGGAAAAAGTTCAAAGGTTTATTGAAATAACACTGTACAGATTTTAAACAGATCCAAGGGATAATCAGATTCAGGACTGGTCACGACTAGGTTCACTGCAGAGGGGGACAGAGGAGTTAGCAGATGTCCAGGTAATTTGCAGGATGTGAAGGTGCAGGTCTGTACCTGTTCTGGAGTTTGAGCAGAACGGCAGAGGGGGGGAACCAGGAGGGTCCAGAGGCTGTCGGCAGGCTGAGGGCTTGGTGGAGGCAGAGCTTGGTTTGAGTGTATGCAGATCACAGATTTGAGTTT